AATTAGTTCTGGTTTAGCCCAACCCAGGACACTTCTGCAGCCATTAATTTCGGGTGCTCCATCTCCTTCCTCTCTCCTGTAGGGCTGCGGGGGGCCCGGGTACCGAGGGCTCGTTGGGGACGCCGACGTTGGGCGCGTCGACACGGCCTATCGCGTGGTGGCCGACCACGTGCGCGCCTTGTGCGTCTGCATCGCGGATGGCATCTACCCAGGCGCCTCGGGAGCGGAGTAAGGACCCGAAACGGCGTGGGGTGGCGGGAGTTCGGTCTGGAAAGGAGTCTGGCCAGCTGGGGAAGAGGTTCTGGTGTGGGCCCCGAGGCAGGACGTGCGCGAGGTTTGGGGAGGCGGGAAGACATTCGAATCGGCAGGCTTGGCCTTGGGTGGGTGGGGAGCAGCTGGCTCCGTGTCCGTAGGTGAGGGCAGAGGGGCTGGGTGGGGGGTTGTGCTGGAGGTGGGAGCCAGGCAGGGGTGCTCACCCGGCTGCCTGGCAAATCCCGCCCCCTTTCCAGGCTGGTGCTGCGTCGGATCCTGCGCAGGGCTGTCCGCTTCTGCTCTGAAGTCCTTCACGCTCCCCCTGGGCTCCTGGCCTCCCTGGTGCCTGCTGTAGTGGAAGTGCTGGTGAGGAAAAAGTGCTGCCTTGGGGGGGTTGAGAGTATCACACGGGTCCTGTTCAGCCCCGCGTCCTTTCCCTGTATGCTGGAGACAATCTGGGATGCAAAGGAGCTGGTGCTATGCATCACAGCCGTAAGAACCCATAAAAATCTCCTGTCTCCTGATGATCTGGGATGGGAGGGAGGGAGCCCAGTGTGACCAGCAGTACCGTCAGCACAAGTGTGTGCAAGTGCACATTGCTCTTTCCCAAGGGCACTGGCTTCCAAGCTGTCCTGGCTGGTTAAAGCCACCTGAAATTGGTCCCTGTGAGTACCGACAGCATCCTGGAAGACAATGCTTCCTTCCTGTTCTCAACGGGTGTGTTTGCCAAGAGAGGCAGGTCACAGGGAGCTGGCCAGGAGATGGCAGCTCTAAGGCCGTGGGTGATTCTTCCCCTGGGCTGCTGTCCCCAGAGCTGCGTGCTGGGGCTGCCTTCGAGCTCCCCTGCCCGAGAAACCTGTGTGGTGCTTGTGGCGTGCCGCCAGACCCCCTGAGGAGGCCGCGGAGGATGTTGTCCCTAACTGAGGCTCGCTCCACAGGGAGATGCCTACCCAGAGCTGACGAAGAACGCGGGCCAGGTGAGCGATGTGGGATCCCCCGGAGAGAAACCCTGGCTCCCACTGTCTTTGTGAGGCTGCTCTTGGGGGAAGAAGCCAGCCCTTGCTTGGGACGGAGCTGGAGGAGTTTGCCCGGCCTCCTCCATGACCGTGCTCATAGGGGTGGGCTGGGATGTGCTGGGAACACGTCCGTACCCTGGGCACGAGGAGTTTCAGTGGCAGGTTTCCTCGTGAGAGCTCCACTAGATCCTCACCAAGGACTGCTTGTCCTGATACGAGGCAGCTGTTGGCCTAAAAAAAGCTAGGGTAGCTCTTTTGTTGAGTGCGAGTACAGCCTGTCCTAGCCTGGGTACGCCTGGGTACCCTTTGTCCAAAGTGGATTGGTGGTTTAAGGCTAATTTTGGCTTGCTCCTGCTAACCACAACGCTGACAGTCAATTTCTCTGGCTGTTAATTGGGTCACAGACGTGAAATTCGTCTGTCAGGGAGCGTTTGTCAGCCTTCCCCCGGGTGGATGGTCGGTATTTCCTCGGCAGGACCGGTGGTGGGAGGGACAGTGACTTTGGCACCGTTCCGGAATGCCTCAGGGCCCCGTTGTGATGGGGACCTGCAGAACAATAAAGGCTGGTTCAAGCAAACCCGTGTTGGCCACCTGCTCCATTTGCTCTGAAGGGGCTGTCGCAGGGCTGAGGTGAGCTGGAGAACTCCCGGAGGCGGTGGTGCGGCTAACCCTGGTTCTGCTCCTCGGGCAGGTCGTGGACATCATCAATGACAACGAGGCGGCTTTTGTGTCCTCCCTCGAGCGCGGGAGGCGCGTCATCGAGCGGACGGTGCAGCAGATGGAGCCCTCCACCCATTTCCCAGGTGAGCCTCCCTCCTCTCACAAGCGGCACTTAAATTCAATCCAGCTCCTCGCCAGCCTTGCAGCCAAAACTGTGGTGAGGTCTGCCTCCCCCACAAGCTTTCAGGGACCTTCTAGCTCTGGGCTGAGAGGCACGTTGCTCCTTTCTCCAGCTTGCACTTGCTTTCTAGTACTTTGTTCGCACAACAAACTAGGCACCGAGAAAGTTAGAAGGGTTCCCTTGTTGCTTTATTGACTGGTTAACTGGGTCTTTACAAGACACAGCTGAAAGGGGGAGCTCAGGACCCTTCAGTCTGGCTAGAAGTGCTGCACCGAATTTTAGCAGGGATGGGGCTGTGGGGCACCATCGATACTGAGTCCCACACAAGAACAGCTCCATGGCTTCTCCTCCCTTCCTCCTGACCAGTGCAGTTGCACACAACGTGGGTGACTCCAGTTAGCAAGGCACACGCTGGATTGGGCCCATCCAAGCAAATCTTGAGGTGCCTTTGCTTTCTGTGTTCACACAGAGTTAGTGTGTCCTTTTTTTTTTTTGTCCTCCAGCTGAAGTAGCCTGGTCTCTCTATGGGAATTTGGGATTCCCTCTGGATCTGATTGACCTGATGCTTGAAGAAAAGGGAATCAGTTTGGATTCAGCTGCTTTTAATGAACTTGTTCTGGAGGATGCAAAGGTAAGAGGGGAGACTCACCTTGTCAGAATGATTCAGAGCCTTCCCTCTCTCCTGCGAGCGCGGAGGCAGAATGCCTTTCACTGCTGAAGCTCTTTGGATGCGCCACAGGGCCACGTCCCTGAAGGGGAAGCGGGTCTGAAACAGCAGTGGGGACACATTGCCTTGGCTTGTGGGGGTGGGACCGGGAAGTATTGGCTGGTGATTCTCTTCAAACCAGTAGAAAGGGTTTAGGATGCTGCCTGTTGCGGGAGTGAAGGTTATCATAGAATTACGTAGGTTAGGAGTCGGTCATGTGGGCCAGCTCCTCACACGGAGCAGAGCCTGCTTAGGCAGCCCAAACAGCAGGTGATTTGTGGAGGGTTTATAAAACCTCCCTGGTGTCTGTAGTGCTGGAAGACCTGCACTGCCCACCCAGTGGGTTGTAGGCCTCGCTGTCCTGGGCTTTAATGGCCTGGAAGTTTCCGAGAGGGCTGTGTTAGCTGTTGCTTATGGCCTGCCTCAAGGCTGGCACAGGGTGGTGGTGAGGTCTTGTGGGGTTTGAAGGGATGTGGTCGGTTTAGGGGCAGCCTCCATCAGCCTGGATCTAAACCAACGTTTTCCAGGGAAGTGGAAGTTGTTCCTAGCCCCGTAGCTCCGGTTATCGGTGGGAGCAGTCCGGGGTGTCTCTGATCCGACTGTGCCTTTGCTCCCCCGCAGCGGAAGGCTGGCGGCCCGCAGGCAGGAGAGCCGGAGCACGCCACCGCCTGCCTGGACGTGCACTCGCTGGCTCGGCTGCGGGGCAGCGCCGTGGCCCCTACCGATGACTCCCCGAAGTACTCGTACGCGCTGGGGCGGCACGGGCGGTACGGTGAGCGAGCGGGTGTTGGGAAACCGGGGAGGTCGGTCCGGTCTGGGGCGGCCGGCACCGAGTGTGCGACAGGCGCGAGTCGGGAGATAAAATAGGGATCGTTTATTTACAGGTTCTGTTGGATTGCCGGGGCTGAATTAAAAGGTACAGGTGTACCACGAGGTTTTTCACTAATAGAACAACAGCAGCACACACCATACGCGCACACACACACCCCAACAACAATGACAACTTGCCCGCTGTAGGCCCGGCTGCCTGGCAAACAGACAAGCCTGTATGACAGGGATACAGAGGGACAAGAGACAGTGAAGTCATGACAAACAAGAATCAAGGAAACACTCAGGGAAGCACAGAAATGCACCTGAGGAGAAAATGGGAAATACACCCGGGGAGGACAAGTCTGTCTCTCAGCGTTGGCTGAGGTCAGTCATCTGACCCACACGGCGTCCCGAGTGGGGGGGGATGGAGAAGGAGCGAACTCGTCAGTCCGTCCGGTTGTTGATGTGGTTCCGAGTTGATCCTGTCCCGATTTTTGGGCCGAAATTGGGGTGATATTTATACTTGAATTTTTACACGACGTCGCCAGGGTGTAGGTGCGGGTGGGGATGACTACAGACGATCTTATCGTTACATTAATGCCACAGAGTCCGTTAATTTACACCTGCAGCGGGGGAGGTAGTGGCTCCTTTTGTTCAGGGCAAAGAGAATGGGGCCGCCAGGCCCGGCACCATATCTCGATCCAGTGACGGTTGCCCCCTGCCCAGTGCTTGCCACTTCCCCCAGTGCTGAATTTCACGCTTCCAGGCGTGCAGTGTACGCGACTCAGACTTGGGGATTAACTTTGCCCTCTCTCTACACCGGGTCCCTGCTGGAAGACCCCACCAGGCTGCTTTTACTGCCCGGCGTGGACGTTGTGGTTCAAACCTGCCCACCTTGCTGGTGCGCCGTGTCCCTGCCCCTCCCTGTACCTCCTCCTCAAGTTGGTGGTTTTCTTAGCGCTGGTGGCGTGTCCCCAGGAGGGCTGGGGGCTGGTGCCACGGCTGGGAGCTGTGGGTTGGTGTTCCCGGCCGGGAGTGAAGCAGTGATTTCCGCTCGAGAGGCGTCTGGGCCAGGGGAGTGCTGGGGAGGATGAAGAAGAATGAGGCCGAGGGCTGAGGGGTGCCGTGCTCTTGCTGTTTCTCCGAGCGGCACGAGGTGCCAGCGCAGGCTTTTTGTCGCTCAGGGCGGCCGAGGTTGCTGGTGCCCTGGGGAAAGCGTAAAGTGAAACCACAGCGAGTAAGAGGTGCCGTGGCTGTCAGAAACGATTAGAGCTGTGTCCAGCGAGCTCCCTCTTACCCAGCGTGCTGGTGGCAGCCCACCCTAGGGGGGGGGGGGGGGGGGGCAATTCAAGCTATATGTACTCCAGCGGGAGCACAGTGGGGGCAAGAAGTGCAGCGGTGACGTTGGCTGAAGTCTCCGAGCTAGAGCTGTCCCACCTTCTCAGTCTCTGAATCATGGAATGATTCAGGTTGGAGGGGATCTCTGGATGTCCAATCTCTTGTTCAAAGGAACACCAGCTTCAGAGTCGGAATGAGGTTGCTCAGAGCTTTGTTCACTTAAGTTTTCAGTCTCTTTAAGGACAGAGACTCTCTGTTATTAGTTCTTTGTCACTCTGTGTGAAAAAATATTTTCTTTATAGACAACTAGAATTTCCTCTAGTCTCACAAATGCTAAGTAGTGGTGAATAACCGCTTTCTCTGGCGTGCTGGCTATGCTGGTGTCCACACAGCCCAGCAGCCAGTCAGCCTTCCTTGCTGCAAGGGCCACCCTGCTGACTTGTGTTCAGCCTGCTCCTGAGGATCCCAAGGTTTCTGTCGGTCCGTTTCTGTAGAGATGCCTCTGGAAAGCAGCCCTGCTCTCCAGTGTATCAACCAGTCCCCACCAGTTCATTGCCATACGCGAACCGGGTGGGCCTACATCCCGTCTTGTCCTGGATTGTCACTAATGAGGAGGTGAAATGGCGCCAGCCCTAATATCAGCCACCAAGGAGCTCTGCTAGGAACTGGCTATCAGTTGGGCAGTGAATGCTCTGTGTGCACACCCAGCCAGGTGTGCACCCACCTTATGGTCCACCTGTCCAGTCCACGTCACCCGAATTTGGCTTCAAGGACCCTACAGGAGAGCACGTTAGTAGCTCGCTGCGTCAAGGAAGGTGACATCCCTTTGGCCACCAAGTCTGTCCTCTCTTCGCAGAAGGCAGGCAGGTTTGCCACGCTCGCAGCGTAGCAGGGTGCAGATGTGTCTGCGCCACGTCTTGTTCTGCTGGGCTCCCGTGGAGCCAGGCGGGGCGTCCCTGCCCGCTCACCTGCCACTCAGCAGGTCTGTCACTAGGTGAGCAAGGGGGGACTTCGTCCCAGATAACAGATCCTTTGTCCTTTCTGCCCGTAGCTGTTCCTCTCCAAAGGAAAGTGCCCACTTTCGGTATGAGACTGGGTGCTGGCAGGCTTGGCGTAGGGAAGCAACTCCTCCCTTCCTGCTGCAGTCTGGCAGGGTGTACGCCCTAATTGCTGCCCTCTTCTTCCCCTTGACAGAGTTCAGCCCGTGCCAGGCCACCGTCCTCATGCTGTACAGAGATCAGTCCCTCCAGAAGGAGGCTGGGGCAGGGCAACGCTGCGGTGTCATCTTGGACAGGACTAACTTCTATGCAGAGCAGGGTGGGCAAGCCTCGGATCGAGGCTACATGACACGGTTAGGACAGCAGGTAAGACCCTTTGCTGCGTGAGCCCGAGGCCAGGCAGAATTCCCCAAGGGATGGGCTGGTTTACTGTGTTAGTTCGCAAGCCGTTGGCTCTTGCCAG